TTAGGTTCCTACTTTTTGTTAAGTAGTTTTTTTTTTTTTTTTGAGTTTCAGATCATTGAAGATCTCCTGGTTAAGCCAGGGTGGTCTCTTGCCATACTTCCTATCTTTCCTACGCGGTGAGGTAGTTTGCTATTTTACCCTTAATAATGTCTCTCTGAAAAACTGCCAGCTCTCTTAAAAACTGTTTTTCCCCTAACACCATGTCTACACTAGCGAGCTTACTGATGCAGGTGTGCTGCTGTCGGATAGCTCATGTAGCTGCTCTATATCCACAGGACAGAGCTCTCCTGTAGACATAATTAAACCACCTCCAACGAGCAGCAGCAGTAATGTCGGTGGGAGAGCCTCTGTCCACACCAGCACTTCTGTCGGTGTAACTTTATGTCACTCAGGGGGTGTTTCACATATCTCAAGGGACCATTCAAGGTTAAGTGGGTTATAGCTTTCACACACACCCCCACCCCCTCCTTTCCCGCTCTATGACTGAAGAGATGTTAACAGGCCACTTAACACATTTCAAGGGACCATTCAAGGTTAACTCCTTATGCTAAACAATCTACCCCCTTGTACTTAGCTGTGGCACTCTGGGCTTTTTGACGTTTAGGGCTTAGCTACACTTGCAAGTTAGAACGCATTAAAGGAGCCCAGGACACACTCGCTCACTACCCGTCCACACTGGCAAGGCCCGTAGAGCACTCTGACTCCACAGCTAGAGCGCTGCTGGTACTCCACCTTGGCGAGAGGAATAACGTTTGCTGCGCCCCCGCTGGAGCTCCCCTGCGTCAGTGTGAACGAGGTGTTGCATTACTGCGCTCTGATCAGCCTCCGGAAACGTCCCATAATCCCCTTAAGTCAAGTGAACACTCTTGTCATTGTTTTGGATATGCCCTTTCAAAGCTCCGTTTCTGATAGCTGGCTGTTTAGCTGCTCCAAGACAAAGCAACCATTAGTGTGGAATGCTGCGTGTGAGAGAGAGGTGGGGGGAGAGGGGCTCTGCTGCTGTCTGAACTTAAAAGACAGCATGCGGACATGCTCTCAGTCCCCCCCAAACCCACTCTCTCCCCCCACATACACACAACACACTCCCTGTCACGTCACACCCCCACTTGAAAAGCATGTTGCAACCACTTGCATGCTGCTCTTTGTGGCCGTTGCAAGAGCTGCTAATGTGGACAGACTGCAGCGCTTTCCCTACTGCGCTGTCCGAGGGCTGGTTTAACTCAAAGCGCTCTACATCTGCAAGTGTAGCCATGCCCTTAAAATGAAGACACTACCTATGCCAATGGGAGGAGTTCTTCCATCAGTGTAGGTAATTCACCTCCCCGAGAGGTGGTAGCTAGGTTGATGGGAGAATTCTCCCATTGATCTAGAGCTGTCTACACCAGGGGTTAGGATGATTTAACTGCATTGCTCAAGGGCGTGGATTTTTCACACCCCTGAGTGACAGAGTTATAACTGACCTAGTTTCCTACTGTAACCAGGCCTCTGTGTACATTTCCCAGATCTGAAGAGCTCTGTGTAAACTAAAAAGCTTGTCTCTCTCAACAACAGAAGTTGGTCCAATAAAAGATATTACCTCACCCACCTGTGTCACTAATATCCTGGGACCAACACAGCTACAACAACAATGCATACTGTCATGCTAATATCAATCAGGAACTGCTGGTAGGCAATGAGAGATATCTGAGAAGTGGACCTTTATCTGAACACAACTGCTTAAATGCCACTCATGTTATTGCTATTAGACCTCATTTAATAACAAAACAAAATATGAAGCCTGTAACATGACTAAAATAAGTTCTTCAGAACCTTTCAAAGCTTCTGTTTTCATAAAGCGCCAGAACCATGCTTGTAGAGACCACAAGGACTTCATACGCAACACGCCATTATAACTATAGTTCCAGGAAACAGAACTTACCAAAGCCTGGAGCTCGGATACCTCTCTCTTCTCGACCTCCAATAACACTGAAGTTCCCGGTATAGTTGGGTTTACTCTGTGTGCTGGATTTAGCTTGCTGTGGTTGAGTGTGGGACTGCCACGTAGTACCTGTATTTTGTGGTTTCTTTGTCTGCCACTGATTCCCTCCTTTCTGGGATGGAGCTGACTTCTGACCAAACCCACCAGCTGGGAATCCACCACTGGAAGGACCTGGACAATAACAGTGCCTGATTTAGTTGCAATACATTTTAAAACATTTTGACTACATAATACCGTCTCGCCCAAGTTCTTGTCTGATGCCTACCCAAGTGATTTAATAAGAGACACCCTTCAATTTAAAGGAAATCTAATGTAGAGAACACGGGCGTCTGAAAGTGAAACTTAATGAGAACAGTTTCAGCAGAGTTCGAGACAATATCGCAGTTCTAGTCTGGAACCCACTACTGTGTGTCAGTTATTCCATCTCAAACCTCAACCACTTAACTGTCATTTTGTGACAACTGCTAACCCTGGTCTGGTCACCACACAGTGCACTTCGGTGGATATATTCACCACAGAAAAATGCATTAGGTTTTCACTGCCAACTATTCACATTTAAGTATTTACTAATTATTACGAGAAGGATGCTGGGATACTCCTCTCATACTCAAGAAAAAGGGGTGTGCTCTGAAGGCACTCCCAATAAAATCCATGCCCTCAAGCTTCCTTTTGTGTATTCACCAGGTCAGGGAAATGGCTCTAAAGACTTTTAAAAAAACGTTAGTAACGGGCTGTATACAAATACGGAGAAAATAACTGAACGAGGTCTGAGCAGAGAAATTGCTTTAAGAACAACACTGAAGTACGATATATACACAAACCCAACACACTACAATTATCTTGAATGATAAGCTAGCATTATCTCCCTAATTAAATCACAGACTAGATTTCTCTAGTACCTCCCATCTCTGCCTGGAGAGTGGAAAATATATTAGTCCTCTGTAGCTTTGCCAGCTACAACGGAAGGCCTGATCCTCCATTGGTTACACCGGCGTAAGCCCAGTGTAATGGAATCCAACTCTAAAGCTTTAGTTTCAGCACTCAGCATGACAAGCCAGGGAATGATACTCCTAGCCAAGCTCCACCCAGACTGCCTTTATTTGACTTCTCTTTCCTCCAGACACCATTTCTAGAAAGCGAGTTTCCTTGGCAACTGGCACGTGGCCAACAGAACACTTCCTGGCACAGGCCCATTCAACTGAAAAGTAGCTTGGTAGTTGAATTTAAATGCAGTATTATCATCCAAATTCAGACTGGAAAGAGGAAGGTCATGTTCTTTGGAGGAAACTTCCTTTAAACCTGCTACACCTCCATAAAGCAGATCTAAACAACTTCACACTGGAATAGGTGTAAGCCAAGCACAGATGGCCTTAGACATCCAAACACAGGCAGGAATGCCCTTTACTTCACCATTTACCCCGTACCCCACCTCTACAAAAAGTTACAGTTGAGCTGTTTTGAGAAAAAAATCAGAACAGAAGGCCCTGCATGTATGGGTCTATTTGCAGCTTTCTATATGACACTGTTTAAATTTGGCTAATTTTACAGACAGTGCATTGAAGCATTGACAATATTCATAGTAAAGGCAATAGGAAAACACTTTGTTGTGAGAAACCTTATATGGTACATGAACATGCAGCAAGCTTTAGTGACAACCATGCAAATTGCTTATATGGAATAATTTGACACCCTCTACTCTGGTTGTCACAAATAATTATGAGCTTTAATTTCTCCGACACAATCTCCCCACTACGCCCCACTGTGGTGGTTACAAGTGGCTGGCCAGCTCTTGCAGTCTGATCCTGAAAGCTGTGCACCGAGGGGCGCAGAGGTATTTTCTGCATTTGCAGCTTGCTTCTGCATCTCTTCAGATGATTGCCAATGAGAGGAAGGGGACAGAGGTGAAGGAGGGAGCTGATTTTGGTGGCCATACTGAATGGGAATTAGTAATGCTTGGTTTAGTTTTTATAGTAAGGGCCAAGTGCTAGCCCTGATGATGTTTCTTTGGGATGATCCTGTAGTGCAACAGGGCCACAGAAGTTCCCTAAGCAGCTAGGCTGCGAATTTCCCCAGCATAGACCTAAAGCCTCAGGTGATACTGGGCTGGGCTCTCTCTATGGTGCCACGTCTTCAGGCTGCAGCGTGAGAGGTGTGGCCAAAACGCTTCTACATCCTGTTGTAACTCCCCCACTGGACTCTGCGGCACACTGGCCTAGATTATGGTTTGACATACACCAGTGTAAAACTGGGGTAACGCCACTGTAGCTGATGGAATTACACTGGTGTACAATGTATGAGGGAGGACTGAATCAGGCTGACTAGGACATACTAAAGTGACAAAGCTATTAAGATAAAGGCGTGCATGACATTAACCATATCATAGTTGTTTGGCACAGGGTAACCTAATGGGGATGGTATAAAATGAAAAACAAAGTGTTAGTTACATCAAAACTAGTGAGATTATCTAGCAAAAATAAATTTGCCAGATTTGCCATTGGCATGAAGTAAAGCAAAACAGAAGGGTGTTGGCACTTCTGCAGCATCTAGCGTCTCCCCAAGAGCTTCCACGGTTGGCATATAAACAACATTTTCTCACCTCCCCAGCACACAAGGGCCTTCCATGTTTCTGCGCCTTTGTGCGTCTGGCTGCCTAGGACAATGGCAACGAACCGCCAGGCATAACAGACTGGCACAACAGCTCATTTTCCCACTGAAGCAGCATCCCAGCAGAAGCACCTTGAAGTTATCAGGTAAAAGGTGGTGGATCATCAGCTGACGCAGAGACTTCATTAGTAACTGCACGTGCTGTATTGCCGCATGTGATGCAAGGACCAGGCTCGGATATCATGACCTCTGTGCCTGGCCTCCCCCATCCCCCCAGTCTTGCACTTGCAGTGGAGCCGAGTGAACTGAAATCTCTCAATTGCTAGAGACGGATTCCATCCAGCTGCACTATCACAGTGTCCTTCTAACACAGCAGCAGAAGGAAGACACGGGGGGCAGAGAGGGAGGAGGTAACAATTGGAGTGGGGGCCATGGAGAAAGATCAGAGTGAGCCAGCACTTCATGGCTCCATTAATTACTGATTAAATTAACAAAAATCATGTTTTAAGCTTAACACATTTTTCTTGGACAAAAGCTCTCTCAACGTGAACTGCACTGAGACTGCAGACGGGATTCAAATAGGAAGGTGTAGAAGCTTCCTTACTGATTCCAGCAAGAGTAAGAACTGGACACAGCCACAAAGACTCTCAAAAAATTCAGCAAGAAAGCAGAGTCCATGCTGGAGACTGACAATCCAGAAGAGGAGGAAACCTGATGCCTCATGCAGATTTTAATACAAGGTAGAAAAGACCAGGCTTCTCTGATTAGGTTGGCACATATTTTACTAGGGAGTAGGGGCCAGGGAGTATACAGACAGACAATGTAGGGGAATGAAAGACCACGCACCATATATACTTTGCTAATTGTATCAGAGGTTTCTTGCTTACCCTTGACTTCCAACCCTCTGCTCCCAGTGCCTGACCACCTCACCTCACCTCCTCTCACTCACTCTCCCAACTCCAGCTCCTTTTCCTTAGCATAAAAACTTGCATTAGGACCCTCACTTCTCAAAAGGCCAGTCCTTAACCCCAACTGCCTCTCCAACTACTGGCGTCTTTCTTTTCCACTGCACCTCCTGAACAAGCTGTTTATAGTCACTGCCTTGATTTCCTCTCCTCCAATCCATGTAGATCCCCGGCTGTGCAGCCTGTGCACTTCCCCACTCCATTGGATCAGCTCTTTCTAGCTCTCCAATTACCTCTTCTTGGCCAAGTCAAAGAACTGTCTTCACCCTCCCTGAGCTTTCTGCTGCTTCCGAGAGTGTCAATCACTTTCTCCTTCCTGGATTTTTACCGCCGTGGCCTCTCCATTTTCTGGCTGCATCCGAGGGCTCTTTCAGCATCTCCTGTAGCAACTTCTTCTCTTCCTTGCCTTCACTGTTGTGAGTCCCTCAGGGCTCTATCCTGAGTCCCCTCTTCTCCCTGAGTGACTTCATTGGCTCGCAGCTTCAGCTACCACTTCTACGCTACCACTCAAACATGCTCCCTCCACTCCCGTCAACTTCCCTCTGTACCTTACACAATATCTAAAGGTCTTTCCAAAGCATCGTCCTGGATGCACTTCCGCCACCACCAAAACCCAGCGGAGCTACTTCCAAAACATTTGCCACTTCCTGTTATCAGTAACCTTTATCTACACTCAGGCTCACAAGCACAAGGCCATTTTAGACTTCTCCCCCTTCTTCCCCAGTACATCCAAGATAGCACTAAATATCACTACATCTTGCCCTTTATTCCATTTCATAAACAGTACAAAAAAAAAATCAGACCATTCCTTTCTGTCCTATCGTCACTGCCTGCCTTGGCTTTAATAACCACCTCCTCTCTGGCCTCCCTCAGCACCGACATCTTTCTTCTCAAGTCTGCTCAAAACTCAACAAAAAACTTTAAACTTGTCCTTTCCTCCAAAGCCCTGTGCAATGTTGCCTCGAGCAAGTCTCAGATTTTCTCACCCGTGTCTCCTTCGGACTCTGCCAAGTACGCCAGTCGCACCACCCAATTTGTCTTCTTCTATTCCAGAACCCTTGCTTTCCTCCTGGCTGCCCCATATGCATGGAACGATCTCTTGGTCTGTGTGCTAGTCCCCACCCCTTCCCAAAGACCTGCTGCTTTCATAAACCCCACAAACTAACTCCTTCTCAAGTGCTTTCTACATCCCATATTTAATGGGCAGTAGACACCTGAATGGGTTTTTTAAATCATTTTGAGATACCACCTGCCCCAAATCGCTCAGTGTATCTTCTCTCTTAAGCCTGTCTTTTGGATAAAAAGCTTCTGGGGTAGGGACTAGCTATTATATATATATATGAGTCTTATACAGTTGCAAAGATATGGTCAGTACATAAACATTAACCAAGTAGTCATAACCAAGTAGTTGGTTCCTCGTTTTTTTCTTGATTGAATTTGCTGCAATATGGCATGTGGCTATTGACAAAAGGAAGCGCTAATCCAGGTTTCTGAGGTGTCTGAGGTTTCCTCTTTAACTCAATACTTGCTGCAAAATTATACAAAGTAGTGAAGAGAAAATAGCTAATTTTAACAGTACATACCAAGTCTGTAAACTTGGGTGCAAATTTACAGATGACATACACTGGGTGCAACTCAGGAAGTCAGACACTGAGATGACATGTGGATAAATACTGAAAAATTCTCACCACTAAATAATGATTCATAAAATGATCATAGAATCATAGGAAAAGTTTCTGAACAGAGAATATCAGGGTTGGAAGGGACCTCAGGAGGTCATCTAGTCCAACCCCCTGCTCAAAGCAGGGCCAATCCCCAACTAAATCATCCCAGCCAGGGCTTTGTCAATCCGGACCTTAAAAACCTCAACCCTGTAATGAAACTCAGTGTAACACTGATCATGTGTGAATACCGAGAGACAGTTTAACAAGGAAAAAGAACAGGAGTACTTGTGGCGCCTTAGAGACTAACACATTTATTAGAGCATAAGCTTTCATGGACTACAGCCCACTT